AGATTGCACATTTCCCGACACTCAGAGAGACCCATTAATATTTAGCATGTTACATTTCCAAAGCACTTTACTAATACAAATTGATCTTTTTGGCACCCCCTTGCAAGGCATCTCAGTACCGCCAGCCCTACTGGGGACCTACGGATTTGGGAAGATAAGCTACTTAGGCTGGAGCCATGACTGGTGAGCTATGTATCCAGATTAGAAATAAGAGTTGATGATACCAGTTGTCTAAACCTCCAAACAGAACTCCAGGTGGCCACAAACTTCTCCTTGCCCAGGATGTCTTGGAACAAATCCAGTCTTCAGAGGGTTTAAATAGAGTTTGTCATCTTTAAGATTGAACTGCTTACAAACCAGCTTCCATTTATAGAGCACTTATGTGCCAGGAGCTGGAAACTTTACATAGATTGTATCATTTAATTCTCACAACACTTGTCTATTTTTTGTGATGTCATTATTCCTTTGAGTGTCAGAAAACTGAGGTATGGGAAGAGGAAATAACTTACACAAAGTTGTGTATCCAGTAATTATAAGGCTAGTATTTAAACTCAGGCTGTTCAGTTTCAGATATCTTGACTATTATTAACTAGCTGAGGTGTAGGTAGATGGACAAGGTCAAGTGGAATTATTCTTTGTGAAGTTTTGGCCTGTTCCTAGACAATTCTCATATGCTTTGCAAGATTATCTCTGGAGGTAAAAAAATTAAGAGGCAGGAGGTCTGTCTGTAAAAGTGTTCTGGAGAATGAGAGTATAAACTGAAGTTGTCATTGGCTACCTGTTTCCAACCCTCTCTGAAAGAACAAAGGAGGACTAGTTCATCTAGAACACAATTGTGGGGCCCATGTGCCATGAGTTGTGTTTAATGATACTCTTGAGAGGCAGAGACGCATACAATAATTGAGATTTGGTGTGGAGTACTATAACCAAGGATTATGAAAGTCCATAATGGGGGATGGCACACGGATGAGGCAGGAGTGATTTTTTTCATCCAAAGAAATTGAAGAAGTTTTATAGAGATACCATTGTTGGGTTCTGCTGGAGGTAGAGGAAGGAGAGGCAGGAAGAGCACTAGCAAAAGGAGGTGTGAATTAACACAGCAGGTTTCAAGACCAGTAGGAAGTTTTATCTACCTAGAGTTGTATTTTTCTGCTTTCTTGAGTTAAGTGGGTCAATTTGGGACCCTACAGCTCTTGATGAAGGATTGGATTACAAATTCTAGGCTGTCACTGAAAATATAACTTTGCGATATGTCTAGCCAAATTTCACCTTGGTGTTCTGGCACTGAATGGCAAGAATAATTATCTGCCAGATGGGAGTGGATAAATGCCTTTTTTAAGTGTTACGAGGCCATGGAAAAGGGTCTGGGAGTGAAGGACTGTAAACTAAAAAGGAATTTTGAAGAAAGATCACTCTATCTCTACAATTATCCTAGGGGAAAAACGAATTAACACTGCAACTTTTAAAACTCTATTCTTTTCCTTGTTTATATATACACTTTATGACTTCTTGAAATACATAGTGAATCTTTCCTTTGTTGGGGCTTTAGAGTTTACCAAACCATTTCCCATCTGTTATATACCTTAATATCCATGACTATCTGATGAGGCAAGTGGTTTTTGTGGGTCTCCACTTTACATATGAGGAAACTGGATTTTAGTGAATTACGTAAAGTTGAATACGTTACAATGGTCGAAATTTTGGGGGTCCTTTCACATACTACTTTGCTTTTCAACTCTTTGCAGGTATTCAAGCAACACCTCTGACAAATGCTGAATGTCCTCAACAGCATTTTGGAATAGAAAATACGTCTTGCTGCACATCCTGAGGTAGGTATTCAGGATGTCAAACATGGCATAGATGATTCCTTGTTAGGACCAAAAAGTCCAAATTATTTATCAAATCAGCATTAAGGAGTTGAGTTGTTCACAGATTATTCAGCCAGGATGAATATGGGCACAGTTTCACCAAGCTTTTTCCTTCAAGTAGGTATGGTGGCATTGGGGAGTTTATAAAGCACATGCCTTGAGGTTAAGAGGTGGGTAGAACAGCCTTAGTGGACAACAGCATCAGGTGCTGTGTGATTTCACAGCCTGGAGATTCAGCCTAAGTAGCAGTTTTTGCCATGCTCTTTTGAAGGTGCCTTCAATGACAGTTGGCAAGTCCTCTGATGTAGGCTTTGGAGTTTGGAGTTAATGTCACTTGTGAGAGTTCTCTTTGTGATTAAATGGAAGCTATATGTTGATATACTGCCCTTCTATTGTCAGAGAGACAGAGAGAGGGAAGAGAACCACCAGCTGATGCCTTATATCTGTGCAACCCTGGATAGTAACACTTACTGATGTTAGTCATGAAGGTCCCAATATTCAAAAGCCCAGTACTGTGCTTACGAGCTGAAAATCACAAAAGAAAGGATCCTTAATTTAAAAGCTATCAATCAGGGTCCACATTTCCAAAGAGAAGACTTACTTATCTTTTCTTGATAACATTTTCTCTACCATCTTCCATGCCACATGGGTAAAGATGGTAGTATTAGGAGAACGTTGAAACTCAAAAGAGATTGTAAATTTCCCCCAGGAGAGTTAGGGTTTTTCTTGTATATAAATTTTCATATGGTACTTATCTCTTATATATGCCATGTTTGAACTGTACATTTTGAAACTGGTTGGTGATAACTGTGCCTAATCATGAAGCAGACGGACAACATAGAATAACCCTAAGTCTGAGAACCAGATAGCTGCAAAATAGTTATCTCAGGACTCTGAAAGGTCATATTATTAAAACGAGGGACCTGGGCATCTTAAAGGAACGTATTAGAGAGGATATAATACAGTATTTAAGAGCTCAAATCTGAAGCCAGACTGTCTTGTTTGAAATCTCAGAACTGTCACTCATTAGACACTTAGCCTTGGGCATGTTATAAACTCTATCCAGGTCTCAGTTTACTTCAGTGTAAAATGATGGTAAATGTGGATTGCACTTCAGAGGATTATGTGAGGTTTGATTCATATCAGGTATGCAAAGAGCGTAGCACAACTCTTGGCGCACACCAAGCACTTGTTAACTGTTAAAATGTTATTAAAGGAGGGGACTCTTCCTTCATGATGCTTCTTGCTTTTCCTCTTGTTCTTGATTTTCATCCCTGACTCTCTCTGGTTTACTTTTCTAGTGCCAGTTGTTCCAGCATCCCTGCCTTCTTCTGGTCAGGAATGCAAAGAAAAAACAACTTTGTTTTGAGTTTTAAGTGTTTAGTATTGCCTACAACATCACCTTAAACTAATATACCACAGGTTGTTCTTACTCAAGAGCTAAGGGTCGTTTGAACCAGCCTTTCCTTATTTATTAGGTTAAAAAAATTAAGGCCATTTGTTTCGTGTTGCTTTCTTGTATTTTCTAATGCACCAAGCACATACTGGATATCATCTAAATGTGAAATGCTCTAATAATAGTGGCTGAGATAGATAAGAGACTTAAGGAAGTCACCATTTTGAATTTAGCTTTTATTGATGGGTTGAGCGATTTGGGAGAGACAGTCTGGCTCCAAGACTAAAGAGCCCACAGGGAATCAGAAGCCAAAGGTTTGAATCTCAGTCAGGGCCGCAGATACAGTGATCCCAGGCAAGCAGCTCTCTTCTTCTGGACGTCAAATTTGTCCTGCGAAAGTGCTTGAAGCCACAAAACTATCTCCAAGGGATATTCAGCTAGAGTTGCTATAAGGATGGTTCAGATTGTGCATTGTAAAAGGGCACTAGCTGAGGGGTTAAGTGGGAGACAGAACTTAGTCCACTGTTGTGCTCATCAACTTGCTCCCTGGTCATGTCCATCTGAAGGAAAGGGGTACTTTTTCTAATGTGTGCAATGGTTCTCTGGGCTAGTAAACACCGTGTGTTAAGCAGTTTTTCAGCGACAGGGCATAACACAGAATGGATAAATTCATTCAGTACAGTTATTGAATACCTACCATGTGCCAGGCCCAATTTTAGGGTCTAAAGATAAGAAAATGGGTCTAACCAATTACTGCCCTTGGGTTTTTCTTTTATTCAGTAGCCCACCTTCTACTATGTTCCTGCTAATGAAATGACCGACCCCACCTATTTTTCTTCATCTCATTGCCAGCACTTTTGCTTCATTATTTCTCACATAGATTATTCCAGGAGATGGGGCCCTACTTCTATCGCCCCTTCTTTTTTAAAATGCTTGACTTTTGAGCTAGGGTCTCCCTAAATCGCCAATTGTCTAGCTCCTATTTGTGTTTTTCCTGCCTCACCCTCCCAGAGCGCCAGGATTATAGGCGTATGCACTTATGCCCCTCTGAAAAAACAATCTTTAAGACTGAATAAAATGACTTGAAAAGAAGGCGGCAAAACTGGACAGTACCATATAAAAATAAATAATACCGTTAAACAGTACTGAGCAACGTTTACTTTACATGAGCCCGAAAATAATCCCCTCGGTGGGTTCTGCAGTAAGGACGTTTTCCGCGGAGGGAGAAGCAGCAGTGCAGGCTGGAGAACACAGTGAGGAAGCAGACACGCTGTAGGTTACTGTTCCTTTTTAAAATTTTTTTATTTAGAGAAACATAAAACAATAGAAAACGGGCAGAAATAGCACATACTTTCAAAGAAAAGAAATAAACAGTAATAAATCACTAGTTGATGTATACATATTGTCCCCCCACAAATAATTGTTCAAGATACAAAAGTGGAAATTTGGCAGTTAAAACGCAGTTAGTTGAGTCGGACGCGAAGCCACTGGCTGGCGACGCGAGCGAGGCGGAAGTATTCGGGTAGCCACGTTCTCCCGCGCTCGCTGCTAGCCCCGCCCCGCGTGACGCGTCGGTGGGCGTGGCCGGGCGGCGCGTAGACTACGTTCCCCAGAAGGTGTCGCGGCACGGGGCGGAGTCGAGGCCTGGAGTGAGCTTCAGCGGCGCGAGCGGAAGAGACGGAACTCTTGGGAGGCGGCGGAAGAGGCCGTCGGCGGCGTCCCGGTAACCATCAGTCCGTGTTTCCCCCTTTCCTTCGTGTCCTATGCTGAGGTTCTTCACCTCCATTTCTTCCCTCACAGTCGAGGACAAGGCTTCCTTTCCTCGTGTGTGCGTTACCGGTGTTTTTGTCTCACGTGATGCTCAGGGTCGGCCCCCTTCGGGCCGGGGCCGGGGACGGGGGTTACTGGGAAGCTCCCGCCCCTCGACCTCTCTGGGCTTGGGTCTAGACTCAAGGTCCAGGTCCCTTCTACCCTCTTAGGGGCAACAGACATGCCTTGGCCCTCGTCCCAGATGATCTCAGCGTAGCGATCCTTCTTCTCCCGGGTTTCAACAGGTAGTTAGCCAAGTCGACCCCTTGAGGGATACGGGGGCGTGGGCCGCGAGCCTCAGGGGCAGCTTCTAGCTTACGACCCCGGGTCGCCGTAGGCGATTCCGGGACTCCGAGGCCAGCGCAGCGGCCCAGTCTGCCCGTTGCTTGGAAGCCCCAGGCTACGGGCTGTGAGAGGCGAACTTCCTGCTTTTTGTAGGTGGCCCTTCTAAATTCTTAAATCCCATTATCAAAGTACCCTCCCCCCCCATGCCACCGTCTCTCTTTGGGTGAGGGAAGGAGCACTGTCTGGTGTTCTGAGAGCACTCTCGGACTGCCACTTGATGGAACTTGAAGTCCGTTTACTGCCGCTTCAGTTTTCTTGTCTGAAAGATGGGAACAGCAGTCTTTTTCTCTATTTTACTTTCCAGAATCTTGAGGTTAAGCAAAAATAACGAGCCAAATCTTTGGACTATAACGCATATTTGAAATGTAACCATGGTATGCTTCTGACTCCAGTACGGGTCAGTTGAATTTTAAAATGACGTTCATGTACATTATGAAGATCAGATAAGTTATTAAATAGTGGGAACGTCTCTCTGGAAACTGGTAGGAACCATGCAAATGAGCTCAGGCCAAGTTTCTGGAGAAGAGGTGTTATTAGGGCCTTACCACTTGTGGAGTCAGCTTTAAACTTTGCCTAGGTTTTAAGGCCCACCAGAATTCGGATTCTTCTTTCTCGTCAACACAGCTCTGTACCTTGTTTGATCTGTTTATAACTTTTCTCTAGTACTGCACAGATAAAAGCATCTGAGAAAGAAAAGCACTTAAAACTCCCCAAGTATGGTGCTGAATTAGTATGTTTCTAGCAATTCTTGTGTCTTTCCCCTTTTCAGATACTACTCACACACTAAACTTAACTCTTCCTCTAACAGAATGCTACTGACCTGAGTGTGCAGTAGTTGAAATGTGTTATTTTTCACCTATCCTGGCGTATGTGCCAGAAGTCTGTTTTCTTACAGAATAGGGAAAGAAAAATAGCCAATAAGATTTGATTTCTTTTTTGACAGCTAACCTCCAGGACTAATCAGATTGTTTATCTTCTTACTTTTCCAGTTGTAGAGAATATTTTTCATTCAGTTTTTAAAAAGATTTGGGGTGTAGTATAATTACGGATATTTTTAATCTGTATTTTTTCTGAAACTATTGGGTGGAAAACACTTGAAAATGGTTCAAAAAACAGAATGATGCAAAGTGTTAGTGTACTAAGTTGAACAAACATGAGTTCAAGTTAGAGCCATAACTTAATAGGATTTTTAAAATGTTTGGTTGAGGAGAGGGTATGGGGATTGAACCCAGAATCTTTGCATTGAGCTACCTCCTGGCATTTTTAAATTCTGAGACAGAGTTTCCTCGCGGAGTTGTCCATGCTGGACTCCAATTTGCCTTGCTCCTGCCAGCCTCCTGGAGTGCTGTAGCTCACTGGTTTTTAACTTGGAGGAATTAGTTGACTTGTCTGAACATATTTACTGATTTCTAAAATGGAGGTAGTACTGTTAACCTCATGAAGTGTCTCTAAATAATAACTGATGTATTTATGTTGGCCAAGGTTAGAGTTGTTAACCAACTGTGGAACTTGAAATGCTGCAAAGCTTATTGGCCAATCTGGAGCTTGAATCTATGACCTTGTCCTCATTAGCTTCACAAGCTAACTATCCACAAATATCTCACCAGAATAAATGATAAAACCGATAAATGATTTTTTATTTGGCATTCATATACATCATTACATGTGAGTAAACTAGTGTCATGAGTAAAAGAAAATAAAAATTATGAAGACTAACCCTCATACTGTGTGTAAAACTGGTGTCCTATGGAATGGTATTTGACAACCATGAAACCTGAACTATAATTTGGACATTTCTTTTAGTTTTAAAATGATGCTTGTTGTAGATTTTCTGTGTATAAGAGGAGTGAAAAGAAATTGGAGTAGACTGCTCACATGTTGAAAGACAGCCCAACTTCTGTGCTGCCCACCAGAAAATGTGTGGGGAAAACATTTAGAGTTCTCCATTAATGAGCCCAGCAGTATGAATGAAGCTTGAGAAATTCCTTAGAGCATATGAATTACAGCAAAATTATGTTGGATAAAGTTATAGGGCGTTGCTCAGCAATGGTAAGCTTGCATTTTGAGAGAACTTTTTCTTCTCTCAAAATATACACAAATGTCTCCTAGCCAGGGTGTCTATTACTTTGTTTTGCTTACTTAGTTTAGTTTTCTATTCTTTAGATACATTCTTCAATTTTATTGTTTGTTGTCCTTTTGTATCTTTTTTTTAAAAATGGAAACCGTGACAGAGTAGGGATAAAATGGAAGCAAAGAAGCACCATTGGTGTGGGGTTTCATAGTTGTGAAGTTTCTGAATAATATGAAAATGATATAGAGTTCTGAAATAGGCAAGTGACTGGCAGTTTGTGATCATTTAACTTGATATAGTTTCCAAAATGTGGGCAAAAAGTGTGTAGTATTTTTAAATGTCAAATCTGCTTGTTAGTAAAGAAATTGTTTTAATATTGCCTTGCAAATGGGCTGTTTTAAGTTCTTTGCCATGCAGTCAGAAGATTTGGGAAGGGAAGCACTTGGATTTAAATCCTCAAATTCAATAGCTTGATTTCTGTTTTCTTAACTTTAAAATACAAATGATAAAACTATTACTGGTTATTTATAACATTTAAAGAAAGCAAAGATGTCTTGAGAATGGATAACTAATTGTAGGGGAGAGAAAGGCAAAATCCAAGACAGTCATATAAACATATAGTATGTGTCAAAGCTTAGGAGAAAAAATGTACATGAGATGAGGGGTAGTGTTTTGAGGGGAATTAATGGCAATATGTCTTTTACCTGTAATAATTTTTAAAAATGTAAACATTTATCATCTTATATTCTTATTTTCTGTCTTTTCTAGAATGTAACTTTAACTATAGAACCTGTGTTACTTATATTTGTGCTTTAGTAAAGTGTCTTACATACAGTAGGTAATCAGAATATATTTGAGATGAATTATTAAGCCCTCAAAGTAAAAACTGTCATGTTTATCTGCCTATTTGCACATCAGTGGATTTTCTCATCCTTAAAAGATGAGAAAAGATTGATTTTTGGGAGTATATGTTTATTTTTAAAATTAATTTTATTGGTATATTTTTGATACACATAATGATCACCTTCATCATAGGGAATTTGTGCCTGTACGTAATATATCTTGATTCTTCTTTTTTCTCATTCCTTTCCCCTCCCTTCAATCTGCAGAAGCTTTGTTTCCATTTATTCCCTTCCATTGTCTCTCCTCTCTTTCTTTCTCTTCTTTCTCTCTGTCTCTCTCTCTCTGTTTTCCTTTTCCCTTCTTTCCCTTCCCATTTGGACACTTTCTTTGTTCTTCCCAATCTCTATAATTTTGGTCCTTTACTCTTGGTTTCTCACACAAAAGAAACAATGCTATATTTAAACATGTGTGTCTGATTTATTTCTCTTAAAAGTATGGGCTCAGAGTGCATCCATTTACCTAGATATGTATCAGGTTATCCTTCTTTATAGCAGAGTTGTGGGGGGTGTATGTTTAATATGGAGCTACTGAACTAGCAAAGGCTGCTATTTCTGGTTAACTTTTGTAATTTAGCAAGCTGCTTCAAGACTTACACTGTAAAATAGCCATTTTGTTATGGTTGTGAATTTTATCTGATTTAGACAAGCAGTGTAGAAGTGTGCTTGAGCCTCACCTGGAAAGGTTAAAAAATGGATTGTGACTTCATGGCTTCTTTACTTACATATCTAGTGGTTGATAGCGGCTGTTCTCCAGAACATTTACATACGATCTCTCATAGACAAACATTTTCCCATCTTAATGGTGACTGATTTTAGGGAGAACCAGGTTGAACCTGCACTGCATCCTGTGGGCTAGCCTTGGAAGTCATGTAGTGACAGGTTGGCACCTTCTTCAATGAGGTGTCACAGACTTCAACAAGAGAATCACATTGTAAGAAAAACATGAGTGATGGGGTGGGAGATAGGTGCCATCTTTGGGAAAGAATTTGTCACAAGCTCTAATTGAAATACAAAGTAATAGGTAAAATTGAGTTAATGAAACTATCATTTTAAAAATAACCAGCAAATGAATGGCCACTTGAATGTTAACAAGTTTTTATCTATTAGCTAAGGGTCCATTTATTAATTTAGTTGAAAAACGTGTAGAAACTTACGAACTCAGAGGTGTTTTAAATTATTTTCTTTATTTTGAAGCTCTAAACAAAACTTTTCTCTCTGTCTCTCTCTTTTCTTTTTTTGGATCAGGAATTGAACTCACAACCTTGCATTTGCCAGGCAGGTGCTTACACAGCTGAACTCAATTCCGGATCAAAACATTTATCTCATGAGTACACACTGACTCCATGCCAAATTGCATCAACAATATGGGTTGATCTTTAATCTTGAAAATCTAAACTCTGAAAGCTCTGAAATTTTAAATCCTCCAAAATCTGAAAAGACTTCTAGTCCTAAGCTTTTTGATTAAGGAATAATCAAGGTGTTGTTTTTAGGGTGTAACTTAAACATAGATATATTGCCATTTAGTGTTAGTGTTGATTATCATTACTTAGTACAGCATCAGTGTGCATAAAAATGAGTGGTAAAAAAGCTCCTGCATCCTTCTTTTGATACTTTAAGTCTATAATTTTACTCAGTCTTCCATCCACTCTCTTAATTTGGTTGGTTTTTGACCAATGTTTTAATCCATCTTTGTTGTCTTATATTACTTTTCTTTCTTGGTGTTGTTAATTGTACTTCCCAAAGTACATAAATGAGCAAATTTAATTAAATGTGTAATTTGCACTCTTCTAGTCATTAATGAATTTGTAAGTAAGGTCAGACCCTACAATCTTGCAAGTATTACAGTTACTGAATTCTTCAACTGACACTTACTTGCTTTGTACAGTTTTTAATTTTAAGCTTCCATGTTTTGTGTGTTTATGTTTTT